ACTAGTGACAGTAATTGGTTTTAGTAACAATAACCAACAACAATAATAGTAATTGATAGTAGTAATAGTAATCAATAACTAATAATAATATCCAATAATAATAATAGTAACCAATAATAATACCTAATAGTAGTAATAATAATCAATAATCAATGATAGTAATTGGCTTTGGTAATAATAATCAATAGCAATAACAATAACCAATAGTAGTAATAGTTACCAATAACTAGTATCAATAATCAATAGTAGTAATAGTAGCCAATATCTAGTAATAATAATTAATACTAATAATGATAACCAATAATCAATAACAATATTTCTTTCAAATTTATAAAATTTTAGCACTAAATTTTTTTCAATCTAATTATTGGATTGGGTTTAAAATTTTTGAGAAGCAAGATAATACTCTTAACTTCTATCACACAAAAAAGTCAACTATGAATTAGTTATTGAATTCTATATATTATCTATTCACTAGTAGGTTTGGTACATATCACCTTTAGAGACATCCGTATACTGGTTCCACTATATCCTGCTAACTCAAAATTCAAATGCTACAAAATTTATGTATAAAGTTTGATAACATGAAAATACACATTTTTAGAAATTTTTAGCTAAAATCTTATCAAATTGAACAAGATATAGCTCAAAATACAACCACTAACAACTTGAGTCACTTACTCCTTAGATTCCAAGCACTGACTTCAACTTTCAATACCTCCTTTGTCCCAAATTAGAATTCATCAAGCAATATACATAAAATATAGCCAAAAAAGTGTTCTCTTCCACTCTAATCACCGATCCTCTATTGCTTTCTATATGCGTGCATTATATCCAAAAGAGTGATAGTAGGTACCAATCAACACCTCGACTTTGAGTGCCTATATCTCCTTCATAAAAACTCCAAATGACTCCAAATTTTTATCAAAACCCTAACTAAAATCCTGAATATGTTGATCTTAGCCTTTGATGTTTGAATGCCTCCTTAATTTGTTCTAGGCGGTTTTTTTAGTAGCCAGAGGTCTGATTTCAACACTATCTCACAAATAGTTGATCTCTGAGTATCAGTCTAACCTATTCTAAGGATTTTTTTTTTTTTAGTCCAATCCTATCCTCAACTTGACCCTAGTATCAATCATACCAATCATTTATCTCTTCTATCCTAATTTTATCAATGTATGGCTTTTTTAAGGCACCAAAAGAGTTTTTATATCTTAGAAGGTAAAAATACTAATTAATTTTTATCTACTTATTATTAAGACAAGAAAATAGACTAAGAGGCTTTCATAAAAGCCTTAGTAAAATAGGTTGAATTCTTATTGAACTAATATAATAGAGTATTAATTAAAAATCAATTTTAGTCATATTTTTACTATATAATCATGTCACAACACGACAACGCCATCAATTTTAAATAACCTTAAATATAATTCAACATCTTCCATCCTAAACTTTTATGTCAAATTCACTACTTATGTCATAATATATGTTGTTTTGTTTGGAAATGTACTGGGCACCTAGTTGTAGAAGATGAACTTATGTTCTACAAATATCCAAAAAACCCTAATAGATTTCATCTATATAAAAAAAATACAATTCGAATTTTTATTCAAAATTACTTAAAGTCAGTACAAAGTACTCAAAAATACTCTTCTTAGTAACTTCAACCATACATAAATCCCAATTGCCTTATTACTTTTATATTTAGGTAATTTTGATTTTTTTTATTAGCCCTAATCTTAGTTAGTAAATTTTGGCAAGCTATAACTCCTAATTTGACTGTCCACTTGATGCAAAATTTTACACATAAATACTATTATAAGCTTTTTATATACTTTAATAAAAATCAATCCAATCCAACTTACAAATTGTGAGAAATAGTCCAAAAACCACATTGATATCACTTAGCCACCATCTTGAAAGTTGATGCAAATATTCCTATAGCTATTTCTTCTTCTTTAACTATTAACTTCAATTCAAAATTAGTATGTAGCTCGATATCAAAGTCTTCTAATACCATGCCATATTTCACCTTTCTAACTAGTAGATCTTCAAATATCATAGAAATCCTATCCGACCCCAAATTGTGAACTTCTAATATCTTCTTATTAGCTCTAATTATATTGCATAAATCTCAAGTCATTGATACAAACTTTAATTTTGATCAACAATTACTAAGTCCTTCCAAATCCTATGAAAAAAAGCCTTATATCCCTAGAATAAGCTTAAAGCTAGGTCACAAATCTTAATTGCTAATCTTTGAATGTCCTCCTACTTTACCACAAGCAGTCATTTTAGTGGTTAGAGATCTGATTTCGACCCTATTCCACAAATGGTCGACTCTCAAGTATCAATCTAACCTATCCTAGGGATTTTTCAATTCAAATCTATGTTCAACTTAACCATAGTATCAACCATACTAATTATTTATCTTTTTTAATCTAATTTTACTAATTTATGGCCTTCCTAATGCACTAAAAGAATTTCTATAGCCTAAAAAGTAAAACTACTAATCAACCTTTAATCTATTAGCTATTAAGCTAAGAAAATAAACTAATAAGCTTTTATAAAAGTCATATTTAAATATCTTGAATTATTGAACTAAGATGATTAGATATTAATTAGAAATTTATTTTTGATTATATTTTTATTATATAGTTGTATTACAATATGACAATGTGATCCTTGTTGTGAAGATACAAGTTTGGTCTCTATTACCCTTTTTTGATCATTTTTTTAAAAAATAGCCATGAATACTATTAAAAATAAATTGAAATCATAGAAAAGATGTGAATTTTTATTCATCAAAGGTGCAGACCAAAGAAGATCACTCTTCAAAAAAAGTACACCTATAAATTCAACTTCAATAAATCCATTAAGGTATTGAAAACGATGCAACCTTAGGTATAACTTTATTTGTTGTAAAAATCTTCAAAACTTTGATTTTATTCTATCAAACTTTTTGAACATATTTATTCTTGCCTCTTTCATACTTATAGTAGCAAGATTTTTTGGATTTAGTTGTGAACTTGATATATTAGCTTCTTTCAATTGCACAATTTCTTAATGTAAACTTTGAACCTCATTATTAACCTCTTCTATAGGTATTGGAATACTACTACCATAGTTGATGTTAGAGATATGTGAGAATTTTACATTAAAAGTATTGACAAGCTTATAAAGATCTGCAATGGTTGCAAATCTATTTTCACTTCTGCAAAGAATGACATCCATAATTTTTCCTTCCATAGAAAATTCAAACAAATCTAAAAGTCAAATTAGATGAGCATAATCTGCAACTTCTAATGTCAAATAAAAGTTTCCACAAAGACAGGTAATCCACTTTCTTTAAGAAAAAAAATTTGTGGTAGAAAATTAAAAGTAATTTTTAAAGGTGGGTAGTTTGCAATCTTCAAAATACAACAATAGAAGTGGAATAATTCACCCAATTTTAATATAAAACAAAGACAACAAATTAAGACACTTGTCAAACTATTAAAGACATGAATTTCATAGAACTAAAAGATCAATACATTCTTGTGTCACTTGAAAAGACTATAAAATCACTCAAAGATGGTATAATATTAAACTAGAGTTGCTATTGCAAAAGATAAGAAAACTATAAAGTCTTGAAATAAAACTAAGGACTAGAAAGGCATTGATAAGAATGAAGAAGGCTTCATTTTTGCCTCCATATATACTATCAACTAAGAGCTATGTAGTAACATCCTATAGAATATCCAACACTTGTCTAATTTGCAAGACACTTGTTTTAACTTGCAAAGCAAGTTTCATATATGTCTGCCACATCAATAACTTATTGGCAAAATTTGTAACTTATCAATCAACTATAAACATGTACAAAGTCAAATATGCATTTATGAAGCTTTTAAAAAGCTTTATCATAAGATAATATCAAATCTACCTATATTTATCTTGTATCTAGTACTTTTTATCTAGATAAATATATATATCCATGACAAAAGGCTTTATTCTTGTCTCCATATATAGTATCTAACTAGAAGCTACATGTTGATAAGTTATAGGACCTCCAATATGTGTTCAACTTATGAGACACTTATCTTAACTTGCAAGGCAAGTTTTTTATATATGTACTATATAGTTAGCTTATACTATAAGCTACGAATACGTGCAACACATGATAAATTTGCTAGCCAAGTTTTTAACCTATCAATCAATTCCAAACATGTACAAAGTTAAAGCTCCATCTACAAATCTTCTAAGAAGCTTTTCTACAAGATAATCTATTTTAATCTACTTCTACCTATTCATATTATCTAAGTTATTATTGAAATAAATATATATATTCATAACAACTATTTCTTGCGTAAACATAATTTTGACACATATCCTTAATGTTTAATATATACTATATTGAATTTTAATAAATATGATAATAGAAGTTATATGATAGGTCAATTTAAGATTAAGATGAATTAATCTAATATTTATTTTAAATAAATCCAATAAACTATATACATAATAAATATAATATAATATAATATAATTAAAAATAATTAAATTATGTCTATACAAATATTATTTAAAACTTACATAGATATTCTATCACATGATTTTATTGTTAGATTCGAAATTAAATATGAAATTTTAATACATTGAGCTTTTCATAAAATATTTGTACTAGATCTTTAAAAATTAATATCTTGATAAATAAATTTAATAAAAATTAATAATAATAAATTATATTTGTGAATATTTTCAATATCTTTGAAACAATTATATTAATATAAGATCAACTTTTAATTTTTCTTGTTATAATTTTATATTATTGCTAATAACAATTCATAAAAAGAACTCCAAAATCAAAATAAGATACTATACACACGAACACATTCCATAAGAGTCATGATTTACAAAAGAAAAAAAGACGGAAAAAAAATTAAAAAATAAAAAATCCTAAATTCACAAATAACTTGAAAAAAACAATATATTTGTGAGGAAACCCTTATTTTGCGTGCGGGGCGTCGCCGTGTGCAGCGACATCATGGCAGAGAGGCCAACTCATGGAGATTGGATGCATCGAGGAGATGGGCGGCGTGAAGCGCCGGAGAGCATCAAAGCCTGCGCGGGAGAACGAGAGAGAGAGAGAGGCATGGCAGTCGCACAAGAGGAAACTCTTATGTCAAGAAATGGTTGAGTATCTTGACAATATGAAGCAGTTCTTCGGTGTCTTGGTTCTGCTCTGGGAGAAGATGACGTCGACGACGACGAAGGTTCGATGATAATTTGTTACGTCTGCCACTCCGCTGTCTGTGCATGATAAGCAATCCAGGAATTTGGAAAATAAAATTGTGCGGTATTGGCTGAATGGCATTGAACAATGCCAGGATTGCGGGATAGGTGGGTCCATTGACGGAGTTGGATTCTGTTCGGAGTAAGGTTCCACACACATATATCTGTGTGTGTGTTTGTGTATATAAATCTATATTTGTCTGTATGCTGTGTTTGATTTCCGAAAACTTCAGGAGTGAATGAACTCATTAGGGTTCCCCTTGTAGTCTCTTCAGCTCATCTTTGGACCTTGAGTAGGTTTCCAGTAATGAATCTTTTCCGTTGTAACACTTTCTAAGTTCTCAATTGCAGCTCCTTTATTCAATCTTCTGGACCCATGTCTCATAGTGATGACTTTTTTCGTTCCTGACGACAGCTCTGTGAAAGATTGCGCTAATGAGACATTATTCCTCGATTCCCACTTTCAAGTAGCGATTATGAGTTTTCCTGTCGGAAACTTGTACTAATCTGACTTTCTGGAATGGCTTGGTTTTTAAGTGTCAGGTCTTTTGTATCTTTACGTGAGCATCTAGCGAAGTTTGAATTTTTGGGAAGGAATTCAATCTGCAAAGTGTTTCTCAATCTCGCGAGTAGTGACTTGTCAGTATAGTCTACTTTAGCTACAGCTATGAAGGACTTCTGAACGATTACTCTGCTTCTCAAGAGTGTCAAGCCATGCCTAGTTCATCATCAACCCTGTACAGTACAAGAGCAGGTCGATGTGGAAATAACGGATTATCTGATGCTGACTCCGATTCCCTCGCTAATGCAGAGAGCAGGCAATCCTCTTCAACTTACCCGACAACCTTTGCCTCTGAAATGTTCGATTATGCTTTTGGTCATAATTTATCGATGTTAGCTTTTGCTATTCAATGCAAAATTCTGAAAGTTGGGAAGAGGTGTCTTCGTTATTAAATGCATGTAACTCTTCCTGGGTTACTGCTCTACCACCCTATTTCACTACTTCCAAGCAGTAGTGGTTGTATCTGAACTTCTTACGTGTGCACAAAGCATCCAGAGCACAAGAGCAACACGAGAGAAGATTAGCGAGGATTGTAGCAGACCAGTGGATGCATGTATCTCGCAAGGTGAGGTTCTCACGCTTTATCAGAGAACGCCTAATGCCATGTTTTCTCAGCCATGTGAAGTAACAATCTTAACCTTTGTAGCATATGGTCTACAGAGACTTGAAGCGGCTTGGTGTGCTCAAATGGTGAACTGTTGGCGTGATGTTTGCACGGAAAGTAGATGGGTTAGAAGCCAAACATATTTTGCGGACAAGCATCATACATACCAGAAATTTATGAAGGCTTTCAATGCTTTACGTGAGGGCAGTCGGACAAAATGGAAAAACCAACTTGCTGCGGCAAAGTTTCACAAGGAAGTCCTCGAAAAGAAGACATTAAGAGGTCTGTTTAAAGCGCAACAGAGTCGCAAGCAACAGCATAAGCAACTTTATTTAGCAAAGGCTTTTAAAGCTGTGAAGCACTATCATGAAAAGAAAAAGTTATTGAGGTGTATGTATAATGGCGCACAAATATTCCATGGTACTTCACTTAAGAGGCACGCATTGAATTGCCTTTCTAATCATCATCAGCGGGTCAAGTTAGAGTCATCTCGCGAAGCTACTGCATCCTGTCATTGGAAGAAGTTCACGAGATCCAACGTATTGAAGCGTTGGGGCACCATCGCATGCAGGATTGCAAAAGCTAAAAAACAGATCGACGAATCCCGCACAGTATTCCTCAAAGGTTTACAAAAACGGTGTATGGAAAATTGGTATTTGGTGACAAATGAAAGGAAGAGGGCTATCCAAAGTAAGTTTGTTCAAGCTTACCAGGAGGTCAAAAAATCACGGCAGAAACGGACGTTGAAAGTTTGGTCTCAATGGCACAGAGAGAAACAGCTCAGACGTCTGAAAAGCGAACAAATAGCAACAATGCACAGCGGTCGGACTTCTGCTGCAGTGACAAAAGCATGGCAAGACTATGCGCGGGAGAAGGGAAAAGGTCGAGCCAAGTCGTCCATAGCCTTCAGTTTCAGAAGAAAGCAAGTTCTTTTAGATGCAATTGCAGTCTGGAAAGCTTATCAGGCCAAAAAGGAAAGAGCTGGAGCTGCAGCATTGAAGGCATTGGTACATTTGAAGCAAAATCTAGCACAAAAAAGCATGGATTCATGGAAGCCATGGCATGAGAAACAAATGTCAAAAAAAAAAGGCAGGGAGGAGGCACTCAATATCTACAAGTCAGTATCCAAGTCGATTATTTTGCATGCACTCATATGTTCTACCATCTATGAAATTCCTGATTCAAGGAACACGAATAAGTGTTTAGTTAATATCACGAGTAATTGGTCAGTTTCTGAAACAATTTTCCTTTTTTCACAGATACCGGCTACAGAGATGGGCGTGTGAGCGGATCTTGGCAGTGGGACTCATGCTTCAAGCATTGCGTCTTCAAAGCAGAATGAGAAAGCAATCCATGTCCTTCGCCTCAGCGTACATGAAGGTAGCACCGTATGCGAGAAAGTGGTGGTATCTGTCCCAAAGGCGTAGCAACCTCAGAAGAGCAATTCTGCACCCTAAGGAAGCAGGATCTCCTAAGGTCATTCAGAAGAAAGAAATACCGCTTGCAAGCTCCGAACAACCCGTCATGCAAGAGATTTTGCTGCGGATTGGTATTGAAAGAGATGGTCTCAAAATTCAACACGAGAGGTGAGACAACTGACCTTTACTTGTTCCCTCTCACTTCATCATTCTTCTCAATGTTAAAACTCACCCACATGTTGCTTCCAATGTCCCCGAACGGAACCAAATAAACAAACCATTTCAATCTGTCTAATCACAGTCCATGCTCTCTTTCGTTGGAATATAGACTGATTTACTTACTTTGGCACACAAAGGGCTGTGTTACTTTCACATGTCAAATTGTCAAGTTAGTTGCATTACTTTGTTGCTTTGCACAATCTGACTGACATCAAAACACCGTTTTGAAACTCCTGGTTATGATATTGCCTTTTTTTTATTCTTTTCTTTTTTCTGTTTCCTCCAAACAGACCTGCTCCGCTCCTGGTAGACATGAACAACACACATGAGAGACCCCAACCAAGAGGGAGAATGTTATTATCTCCCCCGTCATCAATTCCTGCAGAAGTTCCTCTGGTTCCTGCTTCTCCGGCTGTTAAAGAACGACCAGCAGCTCGGAGACCTGCCTTCCTGACAGTCCACATTCCGAGCTCATAACAGAAATTCCTCCAGCTCCTTCGAACTAAGATCCCAGCATTTAAGAACCAAAGATTGTGGAATGAGTTGTGATGCTTTCACCTTTTCTTCCTTGACCCACTTTGTTTCTACAGATTTCTGCTCTCAGTTATCAATATACAAGTACTAGCCAGTGTCGAGAATGTCGGTAGTATTGCCTTGGGAATGCAGAGTTTACCTTGTGAGTGATGTTCGAAACCTTCCAGTTGTTTTTTGTAGCCTGAAACTGCTTTGAATTAGTGAAGAGAGTTTAAACTATTTAATTTCTTGTTTCTATTATTCTTGCATAACTTACCTCCCTGAAACATTTTACCATTGATCACATCTGTCCACGGTCTTCTAAACAACCATGTCTTGTATAAAGATGAGCAACATTTTTTTTATACAAAAAGAAATTCAAGTCAAGTGTACTAAATAATCAAGCATATATTTGCTAAAGTTGGAGCGTCTATGTCAAAATGTATAAAAATCAAGAATTAAAAATATGAAACTAGAAATAATAGATTTAGAATAATGTTAAATATACTTATGCTTTTACTTAATAGACCCACTCTTGACAAAATATATGGTAATCATAATGAATGTGGTTGGTTTTTATTAGTTGTAGATCCAATAGTGGAGAAGTGAATGTAGAATTTTTTTTTATTTATTTATTTTCCTTTCATGATGGTTACAATGGATAGAAAATCTATTCAACATTCTCCTACATTTAAGTTTAAATAATAAAATATATGCTAATAGATGATCTCGTCATGATGCCAAATCACAACACACTTGAGAAGAGACACTCCACAGCAGCATGGATGGATGAAAAGGATCATTCATCCAAAATCCCACGAGACGCGCATGCCACATCAGCGATTGAAGTCCGTGCATGGAGTCGCGTACAGAAGTAACGGTTGCCTGACACGTGGTAGGACAACCTGGCTGCCACTTGTTTCCACGCCTTCTCCCGCGCAGCTATTGCTTCCTGGGCATCGCCCCTCGTTCCATTCGTCTCGGTGTCTGTTCGCAGCAGCAGCAGCAACTGAAGGAATCCGTTGTCGAATTGCTTGGTCTGCTGTTTGCAAGGTACGCTGCGCAACCCTTTTTTTTTTTTTTTTTTTTTTTTTTTGTTCTTTTTTGTTGTCGGGGACTTTTCTATTCTGAGTTAGGGTTTGCGCGCGAGAGAAGCACGCTCGATTTCCAGTACTTTGTTGCGACACCCCTTGTTTGGTTGGATGTCAGCGTTGCGAGGATTTTTTCATAATTACATGTGCTATCAGGTTTACAGGAGTAAGGAGTTTCCTTGAAGAGTGGGCCGTTATTGCGTTGTTGAATATTTGAGTATTGGTAGGCTTTGGCGGTGGGGATGTTGGGGCTGTAATGTGGTTCCGAGCTTTCTTTGTTGCTTGAAGAGCATATTGTCGGGTATTTTTTGAGTTCTTTGATTTTTTTTCATAGAAAACGGGTGCGTGGTGGTCCTGAGCTTCCAATAATCGTCAGTCTTCCCCTTCGTGCCGCTGTTCTGCTAGATATTGTACAGACGCTATTGAGAACAGGATACCGTTCGAGGTAGCTTTTTGCAAGAATGGAAGAGAGTTCTGCTGCTGACGCAATGGCTGTGATGCATGTCGCTTCTTCTTCTTTTCGTTTTTTGAGTAATACTATGTTCTTTCTTGTTCGCTTTTTAGAATATGCTTTATTTTTATTTTTGTTTGCGCAATACCTTGCATCGACAAGAGTAACGGTGTTCGAAACTCCAATTTGAAGTTTTTATTGGAGCAATAAAAACTAAGGATATTTCATAGGTTACTCTTTGGTGGAAAATTTGATAACCCTTGTTCCCCGCTCTTTAAGTCCCTGCAGTGGCAAATGACTTCCAGCTGAAATTTACAGCGTGTTAATTAGGTCCATGCAGGTCAGAGTTGCCTGAGTTTGCTCTTTCGCATGCTTCGCGTCCATAGTCCATGCCGAATATTATGTCTGTCTGATCTCATGTGATTATTTATCTGAATTTCTTCTTTATGTGTTCTTTCAATATATGTGACCCCGTGGCATTCAGGTGCTTTGGTGGAGATAAATTGGTGAGATTGGTGACTTCAACAACGATGAATGATTTGCGGCTGCACAAGGGCGTAGTGCCTAGGCATGAGAAATTCAAGGAAGCACGTAGGGTGGCACAAACTACGCGTCAGCGTGCCGCACGAAGTGGCCTTTTACAAAACTTGAGGAATTTTCTAACATCGGATTCCTTTATGTATGGACCTCTTCTAGAGTCGCCACCACCCACAGTACTAAGAAGGGACGACTCAGAGCCTCACACTCCAGGTACTTGCTCCGCTGCATCTACATGCATCCACATAAGCTCAAATTGTTCATAAAAACTTCATGTTTTGATGACAAACATCTCCAGGAAAGAGTGGTGATTGTCCATGTGGGGAATGCTTTTCAGAGAGGGAGCATGAGGATGGTGATTTCGATGGCGGTTCAACACGGGACGATGCAAACGGTACAGAGAGGGGCGAAAGCCCAAAAGAGCACGATAACGATCCCGAGGAAACTCCAATAAAGTTTCAAGAATCTCGCACTACTAGAACCACCCTGTCGGTCACGCGTGGTACGCCCCGTTCTGGACGAACCGTGGTGCCGCCTGCGGATGGAAGTCGGACTCTTAAAAGTACAGTCCCGGTAATGAAGCCGTCGCGAGATGGGCCATTAAGTTCCCCTTGATGTTCCAGCACGATGACCTTAACTCGTTTGAGTCTGATTTATACACTGCCACGAGGCAGCATGTCATGAATGTTCTTGGTACCATATTTCACTGTGCAGTTCTGTAAATGCTTAGCAAGCTTAGGTAGTCCAAAAGTAGGCCAGAGCGTGTTTCTGCCCAAGTATTCTTGGGGGTGGAAATTTTTTGATGCTTACGAAGCTCAATATGTACATGTCTTATCATTGAACCTGACATAACGATTGACCATATTCTTTTTACTCTTCTGGAAACTCAGTAATTCTGTGCAACTCGTGAAGTTATTGATTAAATCTATGATTGAATCTTCCAAAATTTTATTGATCTCAGAAGGAGAGTTTAGAGTGAAAAACTCGATTATGTGCATGGATTGTTTTGAATCTTAAGTATCGGGCTTCAAGGAAGTTGTGGGTTAAATTGCTTGTCTCTCGGAGTATTTTTTTCTTATGTTTCTCGGCATTGGTATTGAATACTTGAAACAATTCCATCACAGGTGAGCATGAGCACGACCACGACCTTCTTAAAGATGCAAGTGAGGGGCAGTGAGGGAAGTCTTTTGTTCGATGATGGGGATCAAGGAACTTCTTCTATGACCAGTTCTTACGATGATGATTTCACCCTCCTTGACAGTGAAATTGCTCGCAAGGTGGGTGCTGAATTAATCGTTTGTAGCTTTGTTATCTTTGAAATGGGAGTGAAGCGGCTGTTACTTTTCAGCCGATTTACGTCCAAACGTATTGTTGTTGTTCCCAATGCGCAGTTGTTCGATAATTTACCTGAATGTAGCAAGCAGATTTTGGCAGCTTAGAACGGTTTCAGATTAATTCTTTGCCTTGAGGGCCAGGTCGTTCATATGCTATTGAGCAAAGTGGGAGGGAGGTATTCAAAGGAGTTGGGTGTTAACGTGGATGCTGGAGAAGAAGAAGTGGAGAAATGGTTCTTAGCTGTTGCTCTTTTTCACCGGCACTTGACATTCGATGTTCTGAAGAAGACCTTTCAGGTGGGTTCACTTGTTAATCGTGGAGCTTCTGAACTTTGTGCGTAACGAGCATTCATTATTACACGCGTCTATTGCTGTCTATCAAATGGGTGGTGATCAGTTCTTGATGTGCAGAAATTGATAGGTGCTGGAATTGTTAGTGTAAGGGGAATGCTGCATATGGAAGAAGAGGATATTGCTGATATTTTGGAAACTGCTGGCTACACCACCTATAAGCACAGGTAAAATGAATTTGCCTCTTCTTTGAAATAAATTTGTTTAGAATAAGTTGGGCCTATAATACATAATGTTTTGTTAATGATCAGCGCTGTTATTATCTACCTGCAAGTATTATACAACAGCAAAATCCACAGCCAAGTGTTGATTGTTTTTATTATCATTGTTATTGTTTGCATCCAGAGCGGCTTCTCGTATTAGGAGGTTAGCGTTACAGCTGGAAGCAGAACACAAGGGCAAGGTGTCCACCTTGAAGCATATTCAAGATTCTCATGAGGTCTGCCGTCACATCAGCAACTTACATGGCCTCTCAACACACACTTGCAACATATTTTTGAGGTTAATTTTGATTCAACTTTCGACAGCTTTTCGTTGATTTTACCAGCATCGTTACACAAGTATGGGCAACGGGCATCTACTATTGTTAATTGACTTGGAGTCGCCTGTGATGCATCATCGACTGTAGCGTGAATTAGCTGTTGAAACAATACGAACACGACAAGCTTCTTGATTGATATTACACATATTTTTGTAGTTCATATTTTAACGTGATTTCAAATACAACAGGGAGCTGCGAGGTGTTTGGCCAGGAGCGGCTACAGACTATGACAGGCGGACAAAGCGTGCTGCCATGCACTTACGAATTGCTGAATTCGATAAATCGGAGGAGTCCAACATGTTGAAGGAAAGAACTCATTTAGTTGTTGCTAATGGTCAATAGAGTATATGAGTAATGAGGGATATCCTACAAGGTTAGTTGCTGGTCTATAGTGCCTTAGAATACAAGGAGAGGGCTGGTCCTAAGAGATATCCCATATGGGTTGTAACACATGGTACCTTGGTACTAGTATATAAGAAAAGGGTTGGCATGGGAAGAATCATCTCATACCACATTCTATTTGTGAAGTGCAACCTTGCTGGTCCTAACTTGCTTGTGTGGAGTTTGCTTTCTATGTTTCAATAGGTTATGGGCCCACACTCTCTTACCAAGTAAGTTGTTCTTGCATTATTTTCTTTGTTGCTTACTTTGGTGGTTGGGATCTTATGGTAGAATGGTGCTAGTGTGTTGTTGAAGTCATTGCTCCTGGATTTGTGAGTATATGAGTTTTGTGCAAGACCTTGATAGTGTCTTTGCTGAAGTAACACTAGTGTTTGAAAGTTTCATGAGATAGTGAGTCATTTTGAGTGGAGTGACGTGAGGGAGACTTATGAGAGCCATAGAATTACTTTACAATTCATTCCCCACCATTTAGACGTGATTTGGACTCATAATTTACAAAAAGTTGCAAAACAGCGAATTCTGGGTTTGTGGTTCAGCGATCTTTGAGTAGTGATATCTTCTCCATTACAACTCCAAATCAAGAGTTTTTTGGACCTACGTGTAGCTTGAGATGGCATCTTTTGAGGGTGATAGCTTGAGAATGGTTGAAAAGTTCAAAGGTGACAACTTTCACCACTGGAAGGCCAAAATGGAGCTACTTTTGGCGTCATTGGATCTTTGGGAGATTGTATGTGAGGACGAAGAGGCACCTGGGGTAGAGGCAAGTATCAAGGAGCATAAGGAGTTCAAAAGACGAGAAAAGAAGGCTTTTGGCATAATTGCCACCAATTTAGATGAGAGCAACTTTGCTCATGTCATTTCTTGCAAAGGGGCAGCAGAGGCATGGAAGACTCTTTGCAACGTCTATGAGAGTAGAAATCTCTCCAATGTACTATGGTCAAGGCAAAAATTCTTCACCGTGAAGATGGAAGAAGGTGAAGATCTCATGGCTCATGTGAATAAGGTAAAAGCACTTGCAAACCAACTTGCTGTTATTGACAAGCCTTTACCTGAAGAAGATGTTGTGATGACATTGCTCTCAAGCCTTCCAGACTCCTATTCCTCCCTCATTGTGGCATTGGAGTCAATTTCAAGAAAAGATCTTACTTTGGACTATGTCACGGCAAGACTAGCCCATGAAGTGACCAAAAGAAAGCAAAAGGAGTCTATTGGAGAGCAATCAGCACTATTCACGAGACCAAGTAAGGCAAGTACTTCCATTCAACGTAATCTTCCCAAAACTTGTTATATTTGTGGAAAACCAGGGCATTTTGCTAGGAATTGTTTCAAGGCAAAGAGAGGAGAAAGAGAGAATGCCAATAATGCTTTTCATGACCATGGAGGTGATGACTTTGCATTCATGGCAAAACAAACTTCTTCCATGCTTGATATGAGCAAATGGATCGTGGATTCTGGATGTACCAAACACATGACTCCATACAAGTGTTCATTTAACACTTATCAACCAATTCCAGCAACTAAGGTTTGGTTAGGTGATAATGGTATGGTACAAGCCATTGGAATGGGCACCATTGTAGTGGAAGTAGTGGTCAAGGGCATAAGCAAGAGGATCACACTCAAGGATGTGTTGCATGTGCCAAAGATGAAGAAGAACCTCCTTTCGGTGAGCAAACTTGTAAGTCATGGGTGCAAAGTGCAATTCAATATGAATGGATGTTTTGTGAGAACCATGGAAGGCAAAGAAGTAGCAAAAGGGATTAGAGATGGCAATCTCTATATTATCAATTGCAAGCGCATCAATGGAGTAGAGGTTGCTGCTTTTGCTGAATTTCCATCAAATGAAGATAAGGTGGGCATTTGGCATCAAAGACTTGGACATTTGAATGCCAAAAGCATGAAGGAGCTTCAATCCATGGTAAGTGGCTTAGACCTTGGCCATTCTACTATGAATCTATCTTGTGAAGGTTGCATTCAAAGCAAACAACATAGGACACCATTTCCTAGTGGAATTGCAACAAGAGCAAATCAATTGCTGGAGCTTGTGCATTCGGATGTTTGTGGACCCATGAAAACAGCATCTATGAGTGGAGCAAGATATTTTGTCACATTTATTGATGACTTTTCAAGGAAGGTATGGATTTATATCATCAAGGCCAAAAGTGAGTGTTTTGCTAAGTTTAAGGAGTGGAAAGCACTTGTGGAGAAGCAATGTGAGCACAAGATTAAGGTGCTGCGATCGGACAATGGAGGTGAGTATTTGTCCAAAGACTTTGATGAGTTATTGAAGCATGAAGGCATTGCAAGACAAACCTCCACTCCCTATACCCCACAACAAAATGGAGTTGCTGAAAGAGCAAATCGCACCATTGTGGAGATGGCAAGGAGTATGATTCATGCTCAAAAGCTTGGATATGAGTATTGGGCGGAAGCTGTGGTAAATGCCGTATATACAAGAAATAGGTGTCCCACAAGTGCACTTGAAGGAATGACTCCCGAAGAAGCTTGGACGGGTAAGAAACCTTGTTTATCTCATATGAGGATTTTTGGATGCATTGCATATGCTAAAGTTCCAGATAGTATGAGAGGCAAACTTGATGCAAAGGGCACAAGATGTGCATTCCTTGGATATTGTGAAGGCACCAAGGCATATAGGCTCATGTGTTTAGACACCAAAAAGATCATCAAAAGTCGTGATGTAGAGTTCTTAGAGTATAAGAGTGCAAGTGAAAAGTGGGAGATGTGTCCAAGTGGGAGTAGTGGTGTGTTTGTGGACACATCTTCAATTTCAGCAAACAAAGAAGAAGATGAAGAAGAGCATTCTCAAAGTGAAGATGAAAATGAAGATATCATTGAAGAAGAGCCCAACTCTATAAAGACTTCAATTCCAGCAAGATACAACAAGGACAATGAAGAGAATGAAGATGAAGAATATCAACCAATGAATGAGAGAAAGAAGTGTATGAGCCATAGAAGGCAGCAAGAGGTGCATGAAGGCTCATCTTCTTTGCATGAAAGAAGATATCCAACACGTGAAAGAAGACCACAAGGTGAATGGTGGAAGAACCACATCTTTCCACAAGTAAGTGAAGATCAGGCCAATGTTGCTCTTCTTGATGATCCATTGACTTTGTGTGATGCAATGAGGTGTGGTGATGCAATAAAGTGGGAGATTGCTATGCAAGAAGAGTACAAATCTCTTATGGACAACAAGACATCGGAGTTGACTCCACTTCCACCAAATCGTTCAGCAATTGGATGTAAGTGGGTGTTTAGAACCAAGAGAGATGCTATAGGCAATGTTGTGAGGTACAAAGCAAGATTGGTTGCCAAAGGCTACTCACAAGTTGCTGGAGTAGATTTTAATGAGACATTTGCTCCAGTGGCCAAATTCACTACCATTAGAACTATAGTAGCAATTGGAGCATCAATAGACTTGGAGATGCATCAAATGGACGTCAAGACAGCCTTCTTGAATGGAGAATTGGAAGAAGACATCTACATGGAGCAACCTCAAGGATTTATTGATCAAGACAAACCCAACCTTGTATGCAAGTTGAAGAAGTCATTGTATGGACTCAAGCAATCACCAAGAGCATGGTATCAACGCATTGACTCATTCTTTGTGAAGGAAGGTTTTATAAGAAGTGAAGCTGACCATTCTTTGTATGTGTTGCAAGCCAAGGACTTCTTGCTGGTTGTGATCCTCTATGTAGATGATTTAATCATCTTAAGCAACACCATGGTAAAATTAGATTGGTTGAAGAAGAAATTGGAGAAAGAGTTTGAAATGAGTGATTTGGGAGAGCTTCATTATTGTTTGGGTGTGGAATTTACAAGGAATAGAGTATCAAAGACCATCACATTGAGTCAAAGCAAGTACATTGAAGAAGTATTGAAACGATTCAATATGCAAGATTGCAAGCCCATTGGAACTCCATTGGAAGCCAACTTGAAGTTGATGAAGCTCACGGATGAGGAATATGCTGAAGTTGAGCATCAAATGCAAGGCATACCATACAAGGCAGCAGTAGGCTCACTCATGTATGCAATGGTGGGTACAAGGATGGATCTTGCATTTGCAGTAAGTGTTGTAAGTCAACACATGGCAAAACCAGGTCCTATGCATTGGGCAACCATCAAAAGAATCATGAGGTACTTGAAAGGCTCTTTGAACCATAAACTATGTCTTGGAGGAAATAACATTGCATTACATGGATATTGTGATGCGGATTGGGCTGGAGATACAAATGATAGAAGATCAACAACGGGCTATGTATTCTTTGTTGGAATGGGAGCCATATCTTGGAATTGTAAGAGACAACCAACCATTGCAAGGTCCACAATGGAGGCGGAGTATATGGCAGCAAGTCATGGAGCAATGGAGGCAATTTGGTTGAGGTTGTTGTTGGAAGACATTGGACTTGTGCAATTGGAAGCCACTCCATTGAGATGTGACAATCAAGGATGTTTGGCTTTTGCAAAGAATCCAAAGCATCATGCAAGAACCAAGCACATTGATATTCAACACCACTTTATAAGAGAGAAGATAGAGATGGGAGTTATTGATATGATGTATTGTGAAACCAAATACATGTTGGCTGATTTGCTAACAAAAGCCTTGGTGAAAGAGAGACACAACATATTGAGTAAGGCATTAGGATTGATAGCTAATTGACCAGTAGCAAAGTGGGAGTGTTGAAGGAAAGAACTCATTTAGTTGTTGCTAATGGTCAATAGAGTATATGAGTAATGAGGGATATCCTACAAGGTTAGTTGCTGGTCTATAGTGCCTTAGAATACAAGGAGAGGGCTGGTCCTAAGAGATATCCCATATGGGTTGTAACACATGGTACCTTGGTACTAGTATATAAGAAAAGGGTTGGCATGGGAAGAATCATCTCATACCACATTCTATTTGTGAAGTGCAACCTTGCTGGTCCTAACTTGCTTGTGTGGAGTTTGCTTTCTATGTTTCAATACAACAAGCCGAGCATTTTCAACCCGTATACCTCGC